TAAGCTAAACAAAGTTACATTAGTGTCCGAGAATGGTTATCACTACCAGTTGAAGTAATTTGCAGTAAACAGTCTTAATAGTGTGCTGACATTGTTATCTTTTGCTATAATGATTGTGTTCACTATTTAAGCAAAAGTATATTGATGATATAAAACTATGAAAGTCAAGGTTGGGACAATTTTGAAGCATTGGTGAAGAATGACATATCCAACCTTGCCAGGCAAAGGTTAGGAGTGTGTTTAAGTCTGTTTTGGGCTAACATTGTTATACCTTGCTTTGATCACTGTATTTATAATTTGAGCAAGTGTGTATTGAGATTTGAAAGCTGTGAAGACAAAGAAAGGGTCTGTGGTGAAGTTATTTTGTGAGTTGACAGATATACCCTTAAAATTGTGTGAAGAGCCTATTGAAGTTGAAGTTTGTTCTAAGTTTGCTGTTCATTGTTCAATATTGGTTTGAGCAAGCTTATTATGTTGAGACAAGGCTGTGGAAACCTAGTTTGACCACCATTTAAGTTGCATTGAAGATTAACTGATATATCCCATTGTTTGTAGAGAAGTGTAAACTAGGGTTTCATTTTGTTATGTACTTAAGGCTGTGTATTCATTCTAATCTTGTGTAACAGCTTAAGTATTTTGTACTTAGTGTATTAACACCATCATTCTTATGAGCTCATTGAGTCCAAGCAAGGGTGCTTAGGACATAGGGAGTGCAGTATGCACTGTGTTGAGCTAGTGTGTGTGTAGAGGCTGTGAAAATTAGTGTCTTAACTTATATAAGGGTGTGTGCAGAGTGTGAGACAACTGAGTGTGTAACTACTTGCATACAGCTAGTGGAATATTTATTGGCTGAGGCCAAGAACCAAGGTTTTTCCCTATTAAGAATGTTTCCCTTGTAAACCTTGTGTTATTGTGTTTTGGTTGTTCTTGTTCTCTTAAGTGTGTTTTGATCCTAAAGTAAAACTAGAAAAGAGAGAAAGAATTTACTTAAACCAATTCACCCCCCTCTTAGTCTAACAGGTAGGCTTTGCCGATTTAAAGGGTCAACACTCTCTCATATTGTCCTATAAAAACAGAGGCTTCCGTTTTCTCATCTTGAGATCTATTTTAATCATTCGTGAATAATTAAATTAAAACAACCATGATAAATGATTCGAATCTTATCAGTAACGTTTCTCACTCACAAGTAGCAGAAATACCCAAATATAGCATTTTTTTTTTTTAAATCACATTTGCAACAACTAATTCCTACCTAATATAATAAAAATTGATATTATAACTATGGGTTTGAATGTTATAATCGTACTTGACCTCGTAAGTGATTGAACAGATGGATGGGTATTGTATTGAAGATTTTAAAGATTTTACAACTACAAAATACAAATCCATCATAATTATCCACCAAATAAACAAGTGGAAGAATATTGTTGGGGTTGAAATTCATCCCAATTTCTTGCAAAATAAAGACGGCTGAGTCCAACACCGGTGTGGTGCCGGTTGTAGACCTTCCGACGATCAAGTTAGTAGGTGTTTCTAGAGAGAGAATTTTATATCGTAATAGTTGAAGTAGGATTTTTTTGTATATACCTTATTCCAGAGTCGTCTCATATTTATGGTCTTTTGTTGATATAGTCGGTTGAGTTTATTAAGGATTTGATTTATCTTCAATAACAACTTCCTTTATCCTTGTTAACGGAATATCGTTGTTCTTATCGTAGACTCTGTCACCATTCGAAAGTTGAAGAGGTCTGGCGGCCGGTCAACATTTGGTTGCTTCTATCGTTAGGTCAAAGTAAATTTATTTTTCCCTTTCAATTATCATAAAAGAAAAATCATTCAAAATAAAATTAACATATATTCATAACCTAAGTTACCTTTTTTGTTTTGACAAAAAAAAGGAACATACCGATTATATATGTTGGTGTGTTAATATTGATATATTGCAATATGCAGGTCTGACAACCTTCCCAAAAAAATATATATATGTAGGTCTGGTCTTTTTTATCCAAAATAGAGAGACAAAAAGAGTACAAAACTTGGGTTTTCAACAAAAAATGAAAAACTTGATGATGCCGTAATAGCTGGAGCAACTCTGGAGCTGGAGAAGAGAGATCGTCAGGACGTACACGAGTTAGAGAAGAGAATTCGTCGGTGGTGTTGCGAAATTAAACAGAAAACACAAGATATCAAACACACACAACAAGAACACAAAGATTTTACTTGGTTCACCTAAAATTTAGGGCTACATCCAAGGGGTTCCAGGGATTTCACTATGATGATAAAAAACAGTAGTGGATATAGAAAATTCATAATGAATATATACCCTTGCACTAGGGCAACATAACAAGTGCGAAAATTTTCAAAATACCCTTGAAAACAAATATGTGGAGTTGGACATTTGTATACAGTATCTATCAGACTCCACACTACCCATCAGGTGGAAGCCCGAGCACACATGAACTGGTTAGCGGAGGAGTGAGAGGGAATAGAGAACAAAAAGTCATGGCATGCCGTAGAGACTTTGGCCGTATTTTGGCAGCTATCATCGGAACAAACGGAGATTCCATTGTGAGTGTCTGGTTTTTGCCTTTTGGTGTAAGCAAATATACAAAATCTTCTTGTGTTATTAGCTTAGGGTAGTTTTGTCATTTTTCATTTTGCCTCATTATTTTATTTTTTAATAACCTAAGGGTAACTTAGTCATTTCATTGCTCAATTACTCTCAAATTGTAAATTTGTCCCTATTTGCGCGAATTGAAAATTTGTAAGGAGTTTATTGAATAATAGGGATATTTGCACATTTTGGATATAGTGAGAGTTTTTATTTTGCTCCTAACTCTATATATAATTATATCTTGGTTGGTTACTAAATTACGTGTACGATGTAACTAATTGCACAAACACATTGGCTCAGCAGATTAGGCTGTTCAACCAAAAATGGTTGTGGGTCTAATATTGTTTGGTAATACTTTCATTAAAAAAATTACACACTACATATATTATATACACAAGTACAAAAGTAAAATTTTTAAGAAGTAGGAAAATAGAGAAGAAAAATGAGAACTTCATAAGAAAAAAAAAAAAAAATTAGAGTTGATTGAAGAAGAGAAATTTGACTTCATTTTTTTTTTTTTTTTTTTTTTTAAGAAATAAAAGGAATTTCAAGAGTAAAAAAGAAAAGAAAAAAAATTTAAGAGATAATTTTGGATATTAAAATTTTTAGGGGCGCATTATATAATATATATTTTTTTATATATATGCAAAAATAAATTTAAAAAATAATTATATATTTACAAAGTGGATGATAATGGTTTGAGTCTTCAAATGAGTAAAGTATGTGTGTTTGAGTTTCTTAATAATGATAAAAATAAAAATAAAAAACCACCCGGTCCGGACACAATGCGCATGTATAGAATGATATTTTAACATCAAAGTGATCATATAGCAAAGAAAATAGATTTCCTACTTATTATTATTATTATTATTATTATTTTGGGACTAATAACCTTAATAGTATAAAAAGTAATCTATTTAAAAATATGAAAATTGAAGCAGGGAGTCCACGTTTGAATTTGATTTAGAAATAATAAATCGTAAAATTACAATTGAGAACAATAATTTTTTTTAAAGTCGAAATTCAAAATTATGCAAATAATTGTCCTCTAATTTTATTAATTTAGTGAAATTACGTCTATTATTTCCTAAATTTAATAAAACTTTGAAAAAATAGAGTACAAATTTAAAAGAACAAAATTTTAAATTTATGTAGAAAGTTGAAAAGAACAGAAATTTAAAATTCATATTTTATTTATTTATTCAAAAGTTTAAATTATTAGATAGAATTGTATATATAGTCATTTATAACTAATTACTTTTTCATTCGAATTTAATAGGTAACAAATGACCCTTGTTACATTAACCAACATAATCAATTTAGATAAACGACCATAGTAACTATCCACATCAAATCACTCTTTCTCGATCCTTCTAGAGTAACTAATCAAGTTAACTATTTGGATACCCAACATAATCAATCCCATTTTAATATGAAATTAGGCTAAACCACGTGGGACTGGTTCCAGCCCTCCAACCGGGCTGAATTACACTCCTGAAAAATTAATATATAATTTGAATTTAAATCATTTAATAAATTAGTAGCGTTCTTACGTTTTAAATGTATTTTATTTAATTAAGTACGTTTAATAACGTAATTTAAATATTATTGAAAACGCTCAATATTTCTTAAAATATATCATTGAAAATGCTAAGTACCAATTAAAATGAAGAGAAAATTTTAAAATATATTATTAAAAATGCTAAGTACCAATTAAAAAGAAATAAAAAATTTAAGTAAGACATTACTTATCGCTAAACGTTAAACGTTGAAAATTTTAAAACATTTTTTAATTGATGCTTTAAAATTTTCGTACTTAAAATTATGTCAAATTTTCAGTATATAATTTTTAATTTTTTCAAACACCTTACTTTTACTCATGCTTGTGACTTAGATCGGAATTATATAATTGGATCAATCATAATCTGTTACATAAATAAATATATCAATTTTATTTAATTTTTTTTTTATATGCTAGACTCATGTGAGTAATTTCACAATTTTTTTTCTCTCTCTTTATTTTCACCTAGTTAGAGTAATAGTACCATTTAGAGAACCTTCTCGAAACATATATACACCCTATAATTTTTCTCTTTATATTCTAGTTAAATAAGAGTAATAGTAACCTTATCTTTTCTCGTCAAAATTTGAGTCAAGTACTGATGCTGACGAATCTATCTGACGTGTCAGCTTCTCATTAGAATTGACTTCTCTTCTGCTTGCTCGCTAAGTTAGAGCTATTCTCGAAGATGCCCCTACACTTTTGTACGAATCTCACCTGATTTCACCCATTTGGCCCCACCTAGTGGGATGTAACTGTAATTGCACGGGATTCTACGCGGTAGATACGCACCATTTAAACGCGTGATGCTCTTCCTCTAATATCCATTTAGGTTCCAACTCTCTGTCTCTCCACTTTCCTCTCTCTATCACACCATACGTCTCTACATCTCTTACCTCCGCTTTCTCAGATGCTTCAGACTGATTCATCAATGGAACCCTAGTATTTCACCATATACCTTCCTGATTTTACTCTAGGGTTTTTGTTCCTAAACTTGTCTCTGTCTCACCTCAGTGTCAGTGTCAGTGTCAGTGTCGGCCCAGTAGAGTGCTTTCGCCGTTGATGTTCTTTCCGATCTCTACACATTTCTCTCTCTCTACACTTTCCTCTCTATCACACCATATGTCTCTACTTCTCTCACTCTCTACTTTTTCAGATGCTTCAGACTGATTCATCAATGGAACCCTAGTATTTTTCTATATAATTTCCTGATTTTACTCTAAACCTCTCCTCTCTCTCACCTCAGTGTCTGTATCAGTGTCGGCCCAGCAGAGTGCTTTCGCCGTTGGTGTTCTTTCCGAACTCTACACATTTCACCCCTCCACCGGAAATTCCCTCTGCCCCTACCGCACTCCAGCTTGGTATTTTCCACCGCCTGTCCAGGGTTGAGCCCTGGGATTTGACGGCGGAATTAAAAAGTCACCTATAGACGCTTTACGGCCAATCATTGTGGATAACGTTTGCATCCTCTGTATTACCGCGGCGTATTGTTTTCTTTTCCTCTCAAAGCTCTATTTTCTCTTTCTAGATTCTTAGTTTTAGGTCGGAATTATGAGTGTCATGTCCTACAACGAAACGCGGGTAGGGTACAGATTTAGTCCGACCGATGAAGAACTGGTTGATCATTTCTTGAGGTTTAAGATCAAAGGTGATGAGAGAAAAGTCCGTGATATTCGTGAGGTCGATGTTTGCAAATACGAACCCTGGGATTTACCTGGTATGTAATATCAATATATCCCAAATAGAAAACTATTATTTCTTCACTTCCCTCAAGTTTTTAGGTTCTTCATTTATTTTGTGTAAATATGATGGAATTATATATATATATATATATATATATATATTTGTTGATTATCTATTTGTATGCAATCTGTCAAATATTTCCTGGTATCTAATACGAATCTATTACAAATAAAAGATATCATGTCTTCACTTTCAAACAAGGTTTTGGTTTTTTCATTTTTTATCTGTAAAAATGAGCTGTTATATATACATGTATGTGCATTTTTGAGGGTTTTCATTGATTATCTCTAAAAATGACCAGATGTTTATATATATATATGTATATATATAAAATGTTCATTTTTGGGTTTTTCATCGAGTATCTGTAAAAATGGCCAGATTTTTCACACACATGTATGTGCATTTTGGGATCTTTGTTTGGTTTTCTGTAAAAATGGCAAAATATTGTATTATATGGTGATGTATATATGCATTCTAGATTAATGTGGGTTGAAGTTTATATAGCTGGCAATTACTGAATTTTGGGGCAATTTTTTTTTCGTATTTAATTTTGGGCAAAATTTTTTATCTCGTCCTACTTACTTTTGGGGCAATTTGTTGAAATAGGAAATTGAACTTTTTCTAATTCTTTGTTTGGTGTGTGCAGGTTTATCGACGATAAAGTCTAATGATAATGAATGGTTCTTTTTCTGTCCGATGGATCGGAAGTATGTGAATGGGCAGAGGCTGAACAGATCAACAGAGCATGGATACTGGAAAACAACGGGTAGGGATCGGATGATCAAGTCTCGTAGGAGCAAGTCTCGTAGGAGCGTAATTGGTACAAAGAAGACTTTGGTCTTCTATACCAGGCATGCTCCAAATGGCAGCAGATCCCATTGGGTTATGCACGAGTACCGTGCTACTAGTAAGGAGCTTGACGGCACGAAACCAGGACAGGTATGCTTTGAACCCTTTCTCTCTGTCCATTTTGTTTGTATGTTGCTTTGATCTAAAATTTGGATGGTTTTAGATTGAGTATTGGCTATGTCATGTGTTTCTGTCTTAGTATGTGGATACTTCTAGTACTTAACATCTATTAGCTCGAATCATGTTTAGTTGGTGTAACTAATTTGTGAATTAAAAGACAACAAACATTGTATACTTATTTGTGGTTTAAGTGAACTTAGTTTATGAGGGCGTTCTTTATACTTACTTTGTGAAATGAAATTATGGAGTAGATTTAATCCTTGTTGGAGGTCTAGTTGAAATAATTTGCAGCATGGAACAATTTTCTCCACTTGGTAATGTTAGAAAATTCTTGAATTAGCTGAAGGAAAATTTTACTGATTGTTCTATTTATTATGATAGGTTGGAAAATTCTTGAATTACCTACCACCAAGGGGGTCTGTAGCCTAGTGGCATCTCCTCCACTACTTTGGGATGCAAATGAGTTTTTCGCCAAGTGAGAAAAAAATTCTTGTATTTAATTGAAGGAAAATTTTGGTGATTGTTCCTTACCGAAACAAAAAATTTACTGATTGTTCTTCTTATAATTTTTCAAAGCACCTGCAGATTAGTTGATTCTTCTTCTATTTTGTTTGATAGTTTGTTTTCTTGTCCTGCTATGCAAGGCTTGTAATTTTTATGGGAATTTAAGCAAGTAATATGCTTCAGCTTTGATATTTAAGTTTGTTACTAAATTTTTCCTTTCAAAATTTTTCAATTTAGTGTCCTTTTTATTTCAAAACTACTGCTTTGGTTAGATTTATATATTGTCCTAAAAATTCATGTCGCAAAAATGTTAAAAGGTTTAATGTCTATTCAGTGTGCTTCTCCTAGCTTGAATCGATTAATGGGGACACATTGGGTAAATGACCCCTTAAATTCGTGTGTACTAAGGGAAATTGACCTGATAAATGTTCGTTCAGATTCTTGATTTTCTCACGGCCACATTTTTTATGCTCAAACAATTTGTATTCAAATACTGGATCAGCTTGTGAATATATATTGGTTGAGCAGAGATGTTCAATATATTAAATTCATTTTTGGCATTCTATGTATTCTGCAGAGTGCCTTTGTCCTCTGTCGCCTTTTTAAGAAACATGATGAGAAGCAAGATGATGTCATTGAAGGTTCAAACTGTGATGAAGTTGAAGATAATTTTCCTTCTCCTGGGGTGTGTGAGTATCAACTAGGAAAAAAAGATGTTCCTTCTCCTGCCACAGTTAAATCATATGCTGAAGATACACAATTGGAGGCAGTAAACCCTGTGATGACAGCAGAAGCTGAAAATCAAACTTATAGTAATTCTGAAAGCATACTATTTGACACTCCATTACCTTCTGAGTGTGACAGCAATATCCATATTTATGATGATGCTGAAGATCAAGTGATAGACTTGCAGGTGAAAAGAGTGAAGATTTTCTTAATATTATCAAATCTCATTTTTTGTGGTGACTGAAAAATCTAATCAAGTATTTGAATTCTTATTTCTTGATTCTCACTCAGCCGGATCCAGAGCCGGAGGAAATGTTGAAAGCATTTTGTGACCCAGTGCTGGGGCCACCAGATGAAAAAATCTTCTCTCCATTGCATTTGCAGATGGAGCTTGGATCTTCTTACTCGAATTTCCGGGCCACTAATAACACAAGCAATGACCACAATGGGGTTCAGTTTCAATATGGATCAAATGAACTGGATTTTACTGAATTTCTGGATTCTACTGAATTTCTGGATTCAGTTCTTGTTAACTTAGGAAAGCACACCTTTGAGGACACAAACAGTCACAATTTGGATATTGAAAGTGAGATCCTGAACTATAATACTCCCACAAAGCGGTATGCCGCTATATCATCAGTGGCCCAAGGACAGGTAAATTGAAGATCCCACGATCCTTCATTTTTAAGGTTTTGCAGGTCCACGACCATACTTGAGAATTTTGTCAATCTACATTTTTTATACATGCCATGAATTGCAATGTCTTTTAGTGTAGTATTATTTTCTCATTCAGCATGGTGATTTCAGATTAGTTCTTAGAAACTAAACCTTTTTGTGGCTCTCCTGTATTCCAGTTTGATCCTGTGATGGAAAGTTCCGAATGGTTTGGTCAAAACTTCAGCAGAACGGCTCCTACACATATGGAAACGTCTCCAGGAACTTGGGGAACTCCTCAAAATTGTGCTATATCGCATTTTTATGCAGATGGCCTCTTACAGCAGCATCCTTTTAGCTTCATCTAGCTCAGCTCCTAAACCAGTTAAATAGATTCAGTCTAATCCAAACAATCAGAACTTTAACCTAGCCCAGTTTGATAGATCCCTCTGGAGGTGTGTCATCAACATGCCTTTAGATGTTATGCAACAGACTATTCTAGACCAGCTTCATATTAACCAGCCATCAGAACAATCCAAATAGCCAGTTTTTCATCATATATTGAATTGCCTTGATGCTTATTTCTTTTTTATCAAACAAGAAATTACCCGCCTAAACTCAGAAATTCATAATTTCCAGACCAGTTATTTAGGCCCAAATCAGAAACAATCCTTCAGTTACTATGCAGGTTTTCAAAGGCAAAGATATAGGAGTATTTGACACTTGTACGAAAGTAGCCCAGAGCATAGACGGTTATCAAGGAAAGGCCTTATGGAAAGGCTTTAGCAGCAAAAATGAAGCCCAGTTAGCACTCCACAGTTTTATGATTTTAGCCTCTTCTTCCGGAGAGATAGATAATGTCCAGACCATCAACAAGAAGTAGAAGATCTTCAGAATCATCTTAGGAGAGAGAAACAAGCTAAAGAAAAATTAGCTTCAGAACTTCAAGCTAAAATAGATTTAGTGCAGTATCAGTTAGCTTTGAGAGAAAAAGCCAGTGAAGCAGGAGTAGAAGTCCCAGCCACTCTACTCAGCCTCTTCCAACAGACCTCAGAAGAGAAATCAACAAATTAGCCATAGAAGCAGAGTACAGATCTCACATGTTACTTTTAGACTTTCTAAGTGAGAATCTCAGAAGTATCCCAGGAGTCCAAGTCAACATCAGACAGTTTTCATCAGAAAAAATTCAGTTTATAGTTACATAGTTCCTATGGTAACTATAGATTACCAGCAGTTTAAAGAGATAGAACATTTGCAGACTCAGCTTAAACTCACAGATTTACTTGAGTTGGGATTAGTAGAAGGTATCATGATCAGAGGAAGTATTCCAGCAGATTTGCCAGAATTTGTTAGAGATGTGCTTAAAGATAATTATGATCAGAATTATTTTTGATAGTAGTATAACTTTATAGTTACCTTGGAATCAGTCGCTAGGAAGAATACTAGTTGTGACGTAAATTTCAGGGCTACCCCCCATTATGGTATCATGGCCATGTTTATAGAATTAGATTTATGAATATATTCAGATGTTTAGTTAGTGATTTAACTAGTCCAGAAAGTTTTGTTAATAATAATCACAAGTTTTATAGTTCTCAGTATTGTGAATATAGTAGGCACAGTCGGTTGTTTAGTAATCGTGTAGTACATAGTTTCGAAGGTATGAAAATTAGTTCAGAAGTAATATCTGCTCAGTTAAATTACGTAGTATTACATAGATCAAAATACATTGATTATAGCAAAGATCCTAGAATTAGAAGGAATTATCAAAAAGAATGAAGAATTAGTTAGAGGAGTTGATAGCTTAGTAGCTAGAAGAGGTGACTTACAGGGAAGTACTAATATTATGATAAGTCAGAATAATGTAATAACTATGCAAAATATAGAATTACAAAAGAGAATTTTATTCCTTGAAACACAGATTAAAGAGATTAAGAAAGCCTACAGATGTAGATAAGTTAGTAAAAGATTTCGCTAATAGGGTTAATTTAGGACATCCAGTAAGAAAAAGACCGATAAAGGTAAAGAAAAGGTTAATCAGTAATGTCTAGAACCACAACTATGTACACCTTTTACAGGTAATAGTTATCAAGTAGGAGAACCCGGTAGTTCTAGAATAGTAAGTGGTAAAGATAATATATTTTCCAGAAGAATAAATAATGAAAAACAAAAGGAACTTGTAAAGATAGAACAGACCATAAATATAGATGAACAGATTAAGAATCTTAGAGATAATAAGTTAAAATTAATTCAACCAAATAATTTGTATAAGGTAGGATTATTAGAAAGTGCTAGTTCATTAATAGGAACAATTACAGAAAATATGGTTAGCGTAATTACAGAGAATGATGTAGCAGATCTTCAATTACACAGAGAAATTTAAAATAGGATTTTCAGTTAATTCATTTAGGAGTTATAACAGTCGGAGTGGTAGGATTAACTAGACAGAAAACAGGTGCTAAAGTATTAGTTAGTATTTACGATAATAGATTTACTAATATAAAGGAATTAGATATGAACAAAAACTATCATATAACTTATATTCAAATATGGTTAGTGTACGACAAATGCTTTGTCAATGCCCTATCATTACACATTAATAACAAGTATTATTATGTGTCATGGGAGGTTGAACCACATTCTTCCCTTCTACTTGTTTTATTTCATTATAATCTCTCTTTTGGGATATAGTGATATCTTTCACGATAATAAGAGTGATTTTTACTAAGATCATATTCATTATTGTGGTAGTTATTTTTACTACGGCCGTATTAATTATTGTGGTAGTTATTTTTACCACGGCCGTATTCATTATTATAACCATTTCTACCACCACGATCATGTCTATTACCACATCTACGGGATGAGATTTCAGGGATCGGTGTCGATCTAGTTGGATGGGACTGGTGGTTTCTTAATAAAAGTTCAATATTTTGCTTAGCCACAAGTAAACTTGATATCAACTTTGAATATTTTTCAAGCTCTCGATATTGTTGTTGTAGGAGTATATTTGAGGCGTGAAATGTGATGTTTTTCCAATATAAGTTCATCAGTGATAGTATTACCACACAATTTCAGTGTAGAGTTGATTTTAAAAAAAGGGCAGAATTGTATTCAGCCACAGTTTTAAAATCTTGCAATCGCAGATGCTGCCAATCAGCTCGAGTTTTTGAGAGAATAACTGTTTTTTGACGATCATATTTTTCTTTCAATTTTTTTCACAAATTCAGTAGATCTGAGGTATTCAGTTTTTAGTTCCTCACTAATATGGTGACGAAGGAAAATCATAATCTTCACTTTATCTTGTAATGATATGCTTCATTCTCTTCTTTAATTGTGTTTTCAAGACCTAATGACAACTAAATGGATCTGAGCGTCCAGAATCAAAAATAAATAATTTTTGACAAAAATGTCCATGGCCATGACTTCTAACTTTGTCAAGTTTGATATTTTCAGAATATTTAGATATAACAACAATATAGAAATACAATTTAGCAGAGTATAAAAATAAATATATATCTTAATAATAAAATGACATTAAGTGAAAATAACAACATAATATGAACTATTTTATAATTCCTGTATAATTAAATAACAAAGGCGATGAAACTAGTCAAAGTGAATAAATTATTAAACAATAAAGGTAGTAAAGCTGACTATAAATCATTAAGTAATAAAGGCGTTAAAACCGAGGCGTTAAAACCGACTATAATTAGTAAATCATTAATAATAAAGGCAATAAAACTAATCATAATTAGTAGATCATTAAATAATAAAAGCGGTAAAATTGATAATAGTTAATAGATATATCATTTAAGTGGACAAATTAATTCATAAACAATAATCAAAATTAAGATTTTATTACCATTTGGAGTTAGAAATATAATTTTTTTTTAGTAAAATAAGCAAATTCAACAATTTATCAAAACTAATATCATAAAAGAGATACATAAAATTGAGATAGAAAAAGGGAGAGGGAACTTCCTGTGCAAATCTCAAATGACTGTAGCTCGCTTTGATAACGCATTATAAATATAATAAAAATATTATAGAATTGAGAAAGTGAAACAACAAACTACGAAAGGGAGAGAGAGAGAACATGTTATTCATTCTCAAAACTATATCTCCGGTACCCGATTCATCTCTAATATTTATAGATGGATTTGATTGGCTTCTCAAAGACACTTCAAGACTTTCTTGCCAGAACGTGGATTTCTTTTCCTAATGTAAAGATGTTATGGACCCCATCACACACACATATATATATATATATGTTATATGTATATAACAATATATATATATTATGTATATGTATCGCATTTCAGTAAAGCGGCTGTGCAGTATAATTTAGTAATTAATTTCATTAATATAAATAAATAAATTTCTTACTTTTTAAAGTGAGAAAAAATATATTTATATTTTTATGTTGATAACGTGATATAAATATATTAATATATCACAAAAAGACTTACAAAGCAACTTTGTCTTTGGATACACCAAATTCGTACAGCGCGCGCGTATATATATAATTGCGGAGCAAGACAGAATATCAATGCACCAATCCCAAGCCTTTACTTGCACCACAAACCCAATTACATGGCTACACATCAATTTACCAATTGCTTGCACAACACCTCCAATAAAATGGCAGCACATATACATGTGATAATAAGGTAGACCCATATATGCAACATAAAATGACACCAAAAATAAAGTATGTGCAACTAGTTAATGAAAAGATGGCTGATGAGGTGTCTTCCATGCTTTAGTCCATAAAATTGTCATTAAGTGGCAGTACTTATGTCTCGAATGAGGAGAAATTATTATTGCTTTGAAACAAGGCGAATTAATTTAATTTAAAATTTTTGATTCAAAAAATAGTCCCACAAAAGTTTATTAATATACTATAAAAAAAATTCCACAACTCTTAATTTAATTGGTCTGTCCTGTGTCAAATGAGCCTGGATCATCCATAGAAGTAGATATTGGGTTTGTCACATCACAAGTGTACACACTTATTGAAACGTAATAATTTATTTTCTAGTTATCAGTAATTTTATAAGTAGGTTGACCAATTTTTTTAAAAATAAAACAATATTATTGGGTGAATAAACTAATTGCATGGCACGTCTAGTAAATTTAATATTTATTCCATGGGTTTTCTTTCTTACTGCATTAAGAATTTGACCATTGGTACATTACTCTCCAATAAATATGGTTGTCAATTGAGGGATAAAATATCTTGGAAATGATATTTCTCTAAGTGAATGGCTTACACACACATATATATACATTTTGTATATATCCCTCGCTATATATAAAATGTGCAAGAAACATCCATATTAGAAAATAAGTGCATATAAATTCCTGTATTTTCAAATTTTTGAACAACTTGCCCCTTAATCGTCAATTTTGACCAATTTTTTTTATAAAAGCCCAAAAATGCCCTTAAGATTATTTTTTTCCACACCCATTTAACTCTCGTTATTAAAAATACAAAATTACCTCTCCTAAAATTATATATATATATATATATATATATATATATATATATATATATATATATTGTAGGGGATTGTTCTCCTATAAAGCCACCTGTCACATTGAGCGTCACTAAGACTCATTCTAGTTAAGTACCTCGGCAACCTAAAAGACGAGACACTCACGCATCTCGAGTAGGAAGATGTCAATCACATTAATGAGTCTCATCTACCGCCGTCTTCGAAGGGATCAGCATTTAATGTAATAGTACCTATCCCTAGTTTAAAGACTGAGATACCCCTAGCGTACTCAATAGAGCTATCAGGGCTACCCTAGTAAGGTCTCGAGAGACATTCCCACTCGTAAGAAGGACCTAAGCCTATAAATAAAGGCCGAGGTACATAAGCCCAAGGACCGATCTTCTCTGGATAATTACTCCATTGTATTTTGTACTTTGATATCATTCCCATTTTTAATATATATTGATTTTACTTAAAAGAACCCTCCCACAATTTGGCGACTCCACTGGGGATATTAGTATAAAATCGATGGATCTGAACAACCAGCCGGTGCAGTCACATCACTCCGAACAAAACGAAGCTTCTAGCTACAGGGAGGCTGAAACGACAATTAGCCGATATCAGCCAACATACTCAGGAGCACGCGTAGCCACATCGCAGTCCTTGCAACAAACCCAGCGAGAACTAGGAGAGCGTTTGGCACACATAGAAACTATGTTGCTCCAGGACCTCCAAGTGAAAGCAGATAAAAGGGCCAAAGCCCAATCTAGTTCGTCTCTCGTGATCCGCCTATACAGCCTGCTCTCCCAGTGTTCTCAGGTGTTACTGAGCCCCTGATGCCAGTGACTTATGCACAGGCTAAGGTCCAAAATAGAGCATTACCACCCAATCCCTTGCTCAAGGAAGATGGTCTGGTTATTGAGTCCGGGCTGAGAGATTTCTTTCTAAAGAAGTCACCCAACGCGGCTCGGTCTTTCACACTTCAAAGTGAGCCACCTTACCCACGTAATGTCGCCTAGACTCCGTATCCTATCGGTTA